GTCAGCCGAGGTGGGCAGTGCGAGCACGGAAGGCCTCCACACTCACCGTAAGATGGCCAAATGCTCGGGGACCAGCGGAAACCTCCCCTCAAGCCCACAGCCACCCCCTAGACGGACAACCAAAGAAGCAAGCCTGCCCAGGCGCCACTTACTCCCGACCCAAGCTGTGGACACTCGCTGCCCAGCTGGGCCTCGGTCAGCACACACAGCGGCCCCTGTGCAGGCCACTCAGGAAGATTTCCTCTCTGAGGTTCTGCATTCATGGATTCGACCTCTGATGCCGTGGGTTGAACCTGGGGATATGGGGTTCCTGGGGAGAGCCTGCAGCACCGGAGGGGCTTGGTGTCTGAGGGGGTGGCCCTGGAGCCAGTGCCCTGTGGCTACCGGGGCATGGCTGTAGTTAACTTCAGGGAGAGAGTCAGAAATTGAGGATTTTTAACTGTGGGGGAAATGAGTACCCCTCAGCCCCGCTTCTTAGGGTCCACACTGTATCTGGAATACCAGGCTGGGGTGTCCTGTTCGTGACCTCTTAGCTGCTCTCTAAAGCACCTCGGGGGTTTCTCCCGTTCCGCCTGTTACGAGATATGAAGGCAGCCCATCCGCGGGCTCCCCAGGTACGCGGGGCTCCCCAGGTACGCGGGGCTGAGCGTGGACTCTGGGCCAGACAGAGCTGCCTGGGACCTGGCTGTGCCCCAGGGGAGCGCCGGCGACCTCGGGTTCCTCCTCTTCTACCCCCAGGGTTCCCACATCATCTCCACAGGTGGTGCCTCCTCAGAGTCACACGGGACCCGGCTTCCTCATGGTACGGGCCGGCGTGGTCAGCCGTGTCGTAGCAGCGGCGAACTCTTCCTAGGGTGTGCTTGGCCTCCAAGTCGCAGCGTGGCTGGGATGTTAACGCCATAGTCACAGCTGAGACACAACCGTGTAAGGCGATGCGCCTTCAGTGAAAAATAGTCGGATGAGCCGCGAGGCTGTCCCCACGGGGCACGCGGACGAGGGTCTGCGGGAAGGCCCCGCTGCTCCGCCTCTCCAGACTGGGCCTCGCTGACCCCGCGCCACCTCACCCCGAGCAGACGCCGCCGGGCCCCAGCGCAGCCACAAGGCGGGGTGGGAGGAAGGGGCTTCACGGACCCCGAAGACTGTTGCAGCCTCATCCAGAGCAGAGACAGGAGCAGCAACGCGGCTCAGCGGAGGGCTGCTTGGAACCCGCCTCCCTCGTTTGCTTTGCGCTTGCACCACACACTGGGGCACCCGCTATCCCTTTCACACCCCCTCCCCTTGCTCTTGAAAGCTCACGCAGACGTTAAACACTCTTCACGTTTTCTGAGGCGGCACCGATGCCCATCAGCACGCGCCGGCTGAGAACTCCCCTGGGCGCCTTCTGCCCGTCTGTGTCCGCGGGAAACCAAGCGGAGGGACGTTCTTTAAACAGCCCGAAACTGTATCCTGCTTCGCATTCATGCTGGGGGACTGCAACTCAACCAAGTCCACGTCCCGCCCCTCGCTGCGAAAGTAGAATTTATTTTTCCTGCAGATGAGCTTCTGGGAGGGACGAGCACATCTTTCCCACTGGAGCTGTGTGTCTGTACCTTTCTTGTCCTCTGGCCAAGACTCCCCCCAAACCAAAAATTTAACGGAATGACTGATGTCACCCTGGCCTGGGAAAGAAACAAAGCAAAACCCAACAGCAGGCCCTGGCCTTCCCGTGGCACCGAGGTCAGGGGGTCCCGATTCTCGGATGGGGCCGCGCCGGCTGCAGCCGGGACCAGGGCTCTCTCCCTCTGCGCTGGTGCCGGGCAGTGGGTTGGTGGGGCGGCCTCGGGGGTGAATCCAAAGCCCCGTCCGACTCGACAGTCCTAAGACTCCCGCCCCGACGTGGGCAATCCACCGCAAGATTTTATTCTGAAAAAAACATTGTAATTGCGCTCTTCAAGGGGAACCCCTCCTGCCAGTGACCTGGAAGGGGAGCTGGTTTTCCTTGTCAGTCCCTCTAATGTGGTAACATCCCCACCTGCTGGATCGTCAGGCTTTTGCCTCTGGGTGCCTGATTGGGAGGCGCCGGTCAGGGGCCCTGGCTCAGGCAAGAGCTGGGTTGCCAAAAAAGCTTGGGGGATGCTCCTCCCCCACAGTATTAGTTTTAGAGAAGAGTAGAGCTGGGGTGCTGAGAACCCCTTCTTCCTAGCTATTAGCGCCTCCAGTGAATGACTAAGAACCCCCACCCAGGGGCACTCAGCTGTGGTCATGATTACCACACTTTCCCGAAAGATGATCCCCGCCTCTGCCCTCCAGGCTGGTCTCCGGGATCCAGTTAAAGCCCCTGGGACCTGAGTGCCTTGGAAACTACCAGGGAGTGTGAACACAGCAGGGTGGGTGGGGTTTGAGGCAGGCCAGGGTGGGGGCCACCACGTGGGACAGACAGATGTCAGCTCCCCTCAGTCTTGGGCCCTTAAAGCCCCATCTCCAGGCCAGGGACTCACTAGGGGTCGCGAGCCCACCCCACCCGTCAGGGCCGCAGCCCCAGGCTCTCATTCCAGAATTAGCCTGATGACTTGGCGATCAGCTCCCCACTCCCGGCTTCCAGAAACGGGGAGCTGGGTGGGTGGCCTCCTGGATTAGCGTCCAGCCATGCCTCCTGTCCAGGTAGCCGTCTGCCGTGTAGCCCACCTTCCACCTCCCTCCCCGCCACGGCACTGCAGGGTCCCACGGGCAGGCAGGAAGGAAAAGCCCAGAGCTTGGTGCAAGGGCTGGCCTGGGCCCCGGCTCCAGCGAGGGAGCAGCCTCCAGTGAGGGAGTAGCCTCTCAGGGCAGGAAAGAACGCCCTGGGCCCCCAAAGCGGGTGTGCGGTGCTGATGTCAGCCTCCTGCAGTCTGTCCACAGACTCTGGGGCCAAGTGGATTAGACGTCCTTCCCCTATGCTCCCCGCCCAGGCTTGGGGGGCGGCTTGAGGCTCAGTGGCCTCCCTTCCCACCCTCCACCCCTGTCTGGCCTCGGGTGCGGAGCCCAGCCCGCTGGGTCTGCAGAATCCAGGCAAAGGTGACGAAGCATCCTCGGGATTCGTCGTGACTGACAGCCGATTTAGCACTGACCTCGGCCAGCGTCCCCCTGGCATGTGGGCAGCAGTTCTGGTCACTCCCAAAGGTCATCTTTCCACAGCTCCTCCCTTCCAGTCCCAGTGGGAGTTATTTACTTCGGACAGCTAAATACCATGGTCCTCGGCTACCTTGGCAGCCTCTGTCCGGAGGCAGGCGCCGCGCAGAGCCGGAGACAGCAGCCGGGACGCGGTACCGAGCCCAGCCCACAAGATAGATGTGACTTGGCCCTGCCGCGGAGGCCCAGATCACTTCCAGACCCCTCTGGCTCCCCGGCTCCGCCCTGGCTCCCTGCAGGCCCACCAGACCTCCGCTAGCCGGACACTCCCAGTGACGCCCTGGCCGGCTCCGCAGCGGGGCTGGGGGTGCTCGGAAGACCAGGAGACACACCCACGGCTCTGTGGATGGCATCGCCTCGGGAAGGGGCCCGGGGCGCCCCAGGCAAGCCCAGGCACATTCGTCCTCAGATACCGCCATCCCTTTAGAGTGACAAAGTCCTCGATGCTTCATCACTGTCCAGAGAAAGGCACGGGCAGAGGAAGCAGGGGCCAGGTCAAGGGCCAGGGGCTTGGGAAAGCCTTTTCAGGAGTCAGGGCTGATGTCCTTGTCTAGTGGGGCGGAAGGGTCCTTGTGGAGACTTCCTGAACCCCAAGATCAGCCTCAGGGAGGTGCCTGCTCCGGGTCCGGTGTGTGACTCTGCAGTGGCATCGGTCACTGTGTGTCCACAGGGCGACCTGAGCCCGGGTCCTCGTTCCCCGCCTGTCTTCCCAGAGAGCCCAGGCTGGGGCACACGGAGACCTGCCCCCCTCACCTGCCTGGCAGCGCCCAGGCCTGCTGCGGTGCTGAGACCCAGCCAGGGGCTCTTCACTGAACTTTGCCAGGAGGCTCGTCCTCAACAAGCCCCTCCACGTAGCCCTTTGGGGATGGGGCAGGACACCCTAGAAGAGTGCCCTACACTGGCTCCCTCGTCAAGGTCTTAGAAGGGTGTCAGAAAGACACCCGTCCTGGGTCCCACCAATGAGGTCTCGTCTCACCTTTCAACCTGTGACAAAGGAGGGAACAAAGTGGGGGTCAGCCTTGCTTCGGCACCTCCCCCAGGCGGGCACCCAGGAAGCCGTGCAGGGTAACATCTGAGCTGAATTTCAGCGCGCACCTGCCATGGGGTTGCCAAGTCCAGGTGAAGCGGGTATCACATGGAACCTCAATGCCAACACCCCTGAGCCCTGACCGGCTCCTTGCGCCCTGACGTGTGCTCAGCGTGGACGCTCATGCAATTCTCCCCGTGACCCTGGGAGGTCATCTTCCCCCTGCATGGAGGGGACACAGACACCACAGAGCTGGGAGCGAGGCAGCGGGGCAGGGGAGGTGCGGGGACCCTGACCTGTTGCCTCCGAATCCCCACACTGGCCACTGCCCCCGAACCACGTCAGGACACAGGCCCTGCGCTGCCCCGGCGGAACCCTGAGGCACGTCCCGGAGGCGTCTCCAGGAAAGAGGGAGGAACCCTGTTTCCTGCCTCACCGGATGGGTGGGGCCGAGCAGCCAGGTGAAGCTGTGCAACACGGAAGCAGGGGGCTCAGGGAGATAAAGGGGGCCCTCTTGTTTCTGAGGCTTCAGGCCTCAGCGACCCTGCATTAGGCTGACCCTGTTGGGCTGGGCATTGGCCCACGAGGGGATGGGGATTTGGGGGAGTTTGCTTAGACATAAATGTCCCCATCTCTGCTCACTCCTGCTCAGGGCCACACCCCTTTCGAGCACGCGAGTCTGGGGGCCCCTCAGTGCTCCTCGGTCACATGCTAACACTCTGACACTGCAAGCCCAGCCCGTGGCTTCAGCTTCTGGACCCCCCAAATTTGGGGGGCTATACCTGAGCCAACACAGAATCCCCCGACCCCAACAGAATTGTCTTACTGGCATCTCCTGGCCGATCTCCTCGCTCTCCTTTCTCTCCTTTCAGACCTCGGTCACCTGAAAGGGAGGAACAAATAAGGCCTGGGGTGAGCAAAATGTTATCCACTGGAGACTCTTTACCCCAAGACCAGAGAAGCCCTGGCAGGACCTAGCAGCTCTGCGGGCATGGCAGGTGGGACGCGGGCAACTTTAGCCAGTTGTGGTGCCGTTGCCATCATCACCCCGGGTGGGAGCGGGGCCCGGCTGGGGTTTCCTGCCCTCCCAAGTGAAGCAGCCAGCAGCAGTGACGGCATGGCTGAAGGAGGCGGTGGTGCTTAGGAGGAAGCCAAAACAGGACATTAAATGGTCCAGTTATATGTCCACTTCCAAGGCTGCTCTCATGGGGTAGGGAGGGGGTCTTCAGTGACACAGGGAGAGGCACAGGGGACTGCATGTGAGTGAGTTAATCAGGCTTTTTACTCCATGAGCGCCTCTGTGGCTATCACCTGCGGCCTTGATCGTGTTCATGCAGAAGGCGCTTGGGAGTGTGGGCACCAGGCACGTGTGCCTGATTGTGGGCACTTGGAGCATGGGTGTGTGTGTGTGTGTGTGTGTGTGTGTGTGCATAAATGTGAACACCTGAGCCTAGAGGTGGGGCTAAAAGCCGTGGCAGTGACCGGAACAAGAGGGCAAGGAATGTGACGCTAGAAGAGAGAGAACACTCAAGAGCCCAGAGCAAGGACAGCATAAAGATTCGCCGGGGGCTGGGAAGCTGGCAAGCCTCCTGGTTCCCTGGCCCCATGCCCACCCTGAGCCTGGTTGCCCCACAACAGAGATGTACACGTCAGGTGGATGTACCACTGAGGAGGCTACAAAGCACGAGGGGGAGCGTCGGGTAAATGCGTTTGGTCAGGCTTGTACACCATTGGCCTCTGTGGCTGTCACCTGCAGCCTCGATCTTATTAACGTAGAAGGCGCGTGGGTGGGGGCACAAGTGCCTCATGACAGACACCTGAGCCTGGGTGTGTGCAAGCGTGCAAGCATGCACACCTGTGCCTAGGAGAGAGGGGATAAAAGGGCAATGCCAGCCTGGGAAGGCGGCTCAAGTTGCTGTCTGCCCGCTGGCTGGTTTCCCTGCTGACCACTGAAACCTATGAAGATGACGCCAAAGGCTCCAAAATTCTTCAAATTGCTAGAACCAACGTGAAGCTACCAGGCCTGGGATGGTTACAAAACGGGAGTTTCTAGGGAATTGTGGAGCCGCCTTGCCAGGATATGGTTAAAAGAAGAGAGGTCTTCTCCCAGCCAGCATCTCACTCTCCAAAGAAGTAAGAAGCTTCTGACATCACTCAAGACCCATTAACGGGACTGGGGGATTCTCTTCCAAGTAACCCCAGACAGATAACTGCAAATCAAAAGCCCATGACATATTGTCTGATGAAAAAGCAAGCCAGCAAGTTCCAGGGGAGAATGATTTGAGTGATCCAAATTTTGGAAAAACAAGGCAAGCATCTATGTAATGTGAATGCGCCTGGAGAAAAGTCTGGCAGGACTTGCTCCAAAGTGTGCACGGTGGTTACTCTAAGAGCTGAACCGACCGAAGGACAGGGGAGTCACTTTTCATCTTACCCTTTATAGATTGCTGTATTAATTTCTTAAACATATGCTGCTTTTGCAATCTTTTAAAATCAGTTTTTTAAAGATGTGAATCATAAAATGAAGGGAAATCTCGTCTGTTTAATCACCAGCCAGAAAGTAAAGGTTCCCAGTGATTCGAGATTAAGAGACCATCCTGGACAGGTGGGAAAGATTAAGAGAATTTGTGTTTTCACTGAAGAGTGAGGAAGCAGAGCCCAGAGAAAAAGCACCAGGTTTTCTGGTCTCCTGCAAAGACAGAAGATCTGGACCCCTTTGAAAGAAGCATGGAAGGCGGATACTGTCTACGAAGCAGATCCCCCTGACAATGAGCACATGGTGGTCTGTAGGGGAAAAAGCAGAAGAAACACTGGCTGCTGATGTGTGTCTGAGGCTGAACAACAGTTGTAAATGCTGGGGGATGGAGGGAATCTGTACGCGGGGTGGGGTGGGGTGGGGTGGGGCTCCGTGGCTGCTCTGAGGCTGGTGATTACCTTTGAACCCACGCATGCCCATCGGGCCTGTGGCACCCAGTTTCCCGTCATCACCCTTAGGGCCGGGTAGTCCTGGGGTTCCTCTCTCGCCTGGCAGACCTGGGGAGACACGAGGCAGGGTGGCATATCAGACTCAGGACTAGAAGGTCTGAGAGGTTCTGCGTGACCTTCAAGGTCTCAGCAATAGACCTCATTGCACATCCTCCCTCTTGTAGTTTCCAGATTCTTCTCAGTTGATTTAAAGACATAAAAACAGGGCCACCCTGGCGCAAGGGGTAAAGACTCAACTTATGAAGCTGGCGGACGCAGCCTCTGCAGCATGAGTTCGATCCCTACCGGCCAGGAAGCTACCCACATGGCGCAGCAGACCTCTCCTGTCTCGCGTGCTGCTCCCCTCAGCAGTGGATTTCAGTCAGTCTGCCTGTTCTCCTCCCTGCTCTGTCTCTGGTGAATTCTCTCACCACCCCCACACCTCTGGCCCGTACCCCAGTTCTTGTATGCATAAATAAATCTTAAAAAAAAAAAAGATGTAAAAACAGTGCCCAAAGGTCCACACAAGCCTTTGCCAGCAGCAACTTTCATCCAGTGTGCTGGAACCCCCTGGCATGCAGTTGCTGGTGAGGGAGGGAGGTGCGCCAACCCCAGGGGTGCCCCTGTACCGCTATGTTGGAGAGTAAAATTTGGCAATTTTTTTTTTGAGGACTCTATAGCCAGTTGCTGTTCTAGATGCTTTTCACTAAGTATCCCATTTAATCCTCATAATACACTGAGGCCAGTATTATTTCACTATGTTACACATGAAGAAGCTGAGGCCCAGAGAGGTTACAGAACCTGCCCACGACCACACAGCAGAGAACAGTGGAAGCAGAATCTGAGTCTGGAAGTTCTTGGTGGGTTGGCTTTTTCTCATGCTGGATGAAAAGGGCTGACTGGTAGGAGGAGGCTGAAATCACTTTCTATCCTGTTTAAGAAAAGGACAAGAAGGCACGGAGGGCAGAGGCGGTGGGGTGGCTGGCCCGCCACCGGGTCAGGCCCCAGTCCGGGCCCCAGGCTCCAGGCCGCCTACACGTCACCATGGAGATCCAGAGTCAACACATCACCTGGAGAGGCCCTGGCCCCGGAGGCCTGACCTAAGCCCACAGCTATCTCTGCAGAGCAGAGCGCGCTAATGAACTGATGAATTGATCTTTCCGGCCTGAACGTTCAGTTGGTTTTCTTTGGCGTTTCCCATGACTTGGAGGAACCTGTCTCCAAGTAATTATCCCTCCAGTGCTAACGTCAGCTGCTGGAAGCGGACGGGTGGTCCGGGCAAGTGGCAGGGCCTGGAGAAGGGCTGATGGATTTCTTTTTTCCTCCCTAATGTGACACATCTGTTCCCGGAGCCCAAAGCTGCCCCCGCCTCCCCAGAATTCTGCATCTGAACCCTCCGCAGGGTACGCCCGGGCGCCTCATCCCTCATTGAATAAGGCAGAAAACAGGGTCCCAAGACCCTGGAGCCCCAGGGCTCCTCAGTTCTGAGTTTAGGGAGCTCCCCTGTGAGGGGAGGCCACGAGCAGGGTGGGACGTGGCTGCAGGGAGCTGGTGGCTGCAAGCCTCCATGGACCTCTTCAGATCTGGTACTTTCCATGAGAAACAATTTGCTCCATCTTGTAGCTACACCAAAACGCTACCAGCCTCGTAATAGCACTGGGCATCCTAAGCCAAGTTGGTTGGGAACCCCTCCAGGGAACCCATCTTTCATACAATCAGAAACCAGAGGATCGGGGTGAAATGGACTCCCCTCCCATTCCTGGTAAGCCCAGGGCCCTCCTGGAACCTTCTCTATTACCTCGAAGTCCAGGCAATCCAGGGATTCCAGGCTCGCCTTCCTTCCCTTCACTCCCCTGATCACCTTTGGGGCCTGGAGGTCCTGAAAGTAGAACAGACAGCACCAGGGTTAGATGGCTGCTTTCCAGAACAGGCCACCTGCCAGGGAGACAAAAACTCCATCCCAAAGAGAGGGTCAGCGTTATGCTGTGGAAGCACCCAGGGTACCACCTGGTCCAGCTCTGTGTTTGGGGACCAGGGGGGACCAGGGAGAGCTTCTGGAAGAAGTGATCTCCAAGGTGAAACAAGGCAGCTGTGTAAAGGAGTGGGTGTGTAATAGACAATGTTCATGCCCCCCCCCCGGATATATTGCAGCTCTGATCCCCAGTGGGATGGTATTTGAGGTGGGCCTTTGGGAGGTGATTAGGTTTAATGAGATTACAAGGGTGGCCCCCCAGAATGGGGTTAGTGCCCTTAGGAGAAAGAGGGCTCTTTCTCTCTCTCTCTCTCTCTGAGTTTCTCCCTCATGTAAGGACGCAGGAGAAGATGACCCTCTGCAAGCCAGGAAGGGCTCGCACCGGAAACTGACCACACTGGCCCCCATCTCAGAGGCCCAGCCTCCAGAACTGAGGGGTGCGACTACAAGCCAAGGAACACCCAGGATCGCCACCCACCAGGAGCAGTTGGGAAGGGGCATGGAGGACTCTCCCCTGGTGTCCTCAGAGGAGCCACGGCTCTGGGGACCAGGACTGGGGGGGCGCTGGTCTGCTGATGTGGCTGCCCAGTTCAGCCGTGGCCGCTCCCAGCAGGGCAGCGATGCTTGTGCAATCGCTACTTGAAAGAAAGAGCAGATGAGCTCAGAGGGCGTGAACACGCGCACGAGGCCCAGGCGGCCAAGATCGCGATGTGCTGGCACATCCCAGAAGCTGGCATGTCCCAAGCCCCTGACCCAAGTTGACAGCTGCGATGGCCAAGCGCGGGGAGAACGTCACGAACAGTGTCCCGGGCACGAGGACGCTCAAGGGCTGCGGGCTCTGCTCCTCTTTTCAGAGAAGACGGTAAAGTGGACCCCGACTTCCACACAATGGGGTGGAGGCAGGGGAGGTGTCTGAGGGGACCCAGCCCAGCAGAGGCAGAGGGAAGAAGCCAGTGAAATGACTCAGGACACTGTTCCCAGTCCCGGCACCCCCCGGCCAGGTCAGGCAGCAGCGCCGGGGATGGGGAGAGGGGCCGCTTGCTGTGCTCCGGGAACTGTAGCAGCTGACTCTCCTCCCCTGGACCCCGCCCCCCGTCCTCCCCCATCACTCCTCATGACCCTCTCCCCACCTGGCTCCCCGGGCATCAGGAATTGAGAGGATCAGGGATGCAGTGGACCCCACACCCCAATCTATTCTATTCCCTCTGAGGTGGGGTGACGAGTGGATCTTCCCGGGACTCACTCTGGCCAGGGGTGGGGGCTGCCCCAGAATGAGCCCGAGGCTCAGGCATCAGGGTGGCTGAGGTCACTTGGAAGGGAGGGTCTAGCGAGGCCCTGGAGTGACCTGGTTCACGTCCTGGTGCTGAGCTCAGCGAAAACTCCTTCCTCAGGCATCTGCAGGGGGTGCGAGCAGATGCCATGACACAATGGACGCCAGCGGACCGGACACCAGGAGTGGACACCACCCCTGACACCTGCCCCCCATTCGTCATAGTGCTTCGTCAACTCTTCAAGGATTGTGGGGTGTGCTTACCCTAAAAGCACCTGAACTCAGCTGCCGGCTGGGCTTTCAGGGAGAGGCGGGTGTGGAAACCTGCTGCACAGGCGTAGAGCTTTCCAGAGACAAGACTAACCCAGAGATGATGCCTCAGTCACATGCTCACACCTGGCAGGTGCTGCCGAGCCTAAAGTGTGGCGTGTGGAGCCCCTGGGACCTGCTGCCAGGCACTGCCTGGACCAAGCGCATCTTCAAACCCTGCTGCCCGTGGTCCTGTGCCCTTGGGGACTGGCTAACTCATTTTCTCAGGAATCCAGGCTAAAAATCTCAAACTTGCTTTGAGTCCTTCTTTTCTCTTACCCCCCCCCTCCGGTTTGTCATCGAGGCTCCTTCCTGTCCTGTCTCTACCTCCTTCCTCGCCAGGCCCAGCCTATGGGGCGCAGGATGCCCTCCAGTCTCTTTAAAGACCTCCTTGTCTCAGGGGGTCTCTCCAACCCACACAGGGCCCGGCTAACCCTACTCATCTCTGCAGCACCAAACCAACTCCGAATCCGGGGCCCTCCCAGTGCCATGGGGCCAAGGACCCACTGTGAAGACCCTGCAGCTCATGCCCCCCCATCCCTTCTGCAAACTCATAGTCAGACATTCCCCCCTCAGCAGAGCCTTCTCCTCGCTGTGTCCCCAAAAGTCAGCCAGATCCTCACAAATCCCGTCCCCTGAGCCCTGCCGCTCGCCTTCACGCACACCCTTCCAGTCTCAGAGCACCTGGGGGAGCCCCGAATCTCAGAGCTGGGGGAGTCCTTCACTGAGCACGCACTCCTCCCAGGAGCATCACTGAGCTGGCCAGGTCCCCCCGGCCACTATGCTCGTCAGCACTGTCCCTCACCCACCTGCGGTCACCCAGGAGGACAGGCCTCACTGCAGAGCCCGACCCCCACTGTCCACGCCCTGGGGTCAGCCGCTCCCGGCACTAGCGGGGACGCAGAATGACTTCCGGGCAATCGTAGAAGCAGTTAGGGTGCTGGTGGACCCCGGTCCCCAGCGATCATTTTAACTTTGGGACATTGTCACTATCACCCTTTCCTGGCTGGGACTGGGGGGCGGGGAGGTGTCTCTGCTGCATCACCAGAACCGCCCAGCCTCACTCCGGGAGAAGCCTGGTGCTTGCAAGGCCCCAGGTACCTCCTGGCACTGCGCCCTGTGTTGGCGCCTCGTCGGCTGGTCTCCTGGGCTAATGGCCGGGTAAGTATCCGGCGGTTCTTGGGGAGCCACGGTGGGTTTTGAGCAGGGGTGATGCGGGAAGGGGTCTGTCACAAAGGGCCCCTCCCACCAGGCAGCCAGAGGAATGGGGGCTGGGGGGCAGCTGGGGTGGAGAGAGCCAGGCTCTATCTGTGGGACACAAGAGGACACACCCGAGAGCCCACAGGGGGGCCATCCTATGTGAGCTATTTCTAAAAGCAGCGCTGGGTGGGCGGGAGAGGGGCAGGTACCTTTGGCCAGGGAGAGGTTCCTCAGCGCGACGGAGTGCTCCCAGTCCTTGAGGCGCAGGTCCTCCGTGACGGTGTTGAGCACGGCCAGCTCCTGCTTGAGCTGCCGCTCCAGGCCCAGGTGCACCAGCCGCATGCGGCGCGCGTCCTCGCTGGCGTTGCTCACCAACACCTGCAGGTCCTGCAGCCGCGTGCCGTGCAGCGCCACGTCGTAGGACAGGCTGTGGTTGAGGCCGCGCAGGGTGCCGCCCACGTCGGCCAGCTCGTCGCCCAGGACGCCCACCCTGCGCGCCAGCCCGTCCAGCAGGCCCGCGTGGCGCCGCAGCAGCAGCTGGCTGCGGTTGCTCTCCACCTGCAGCTGGTAGAGCTCCAGCTGCGCCGCGTCGCTCTGCTGGCCCGTGCGGTCGCGCAGCAGGGCCACCGCCTGCTCCGTCTGCGCCGCCTGCGCCTGCAGCCCCCACAGCGCGCCCTCCAGTCGCTGCACCGCGCCCGCCAGCGCCAGCAGCGAGTCCGACTGGTTCTGCAGCGAGTCCTGCGCCTTCCACACTTGCTCCGTGAGGTCCGCCTGCAGCGGAGTCTGCAGCAGCCGCAGCTGCAAGTCCCGGAAGCTCTCGTTCAGCCGGTTCACGTTCCGAGTCAGGGCCTTCAGGTCGTCGGGGGAGCTCCGGGGCCTGGACACTGCAGGGGAGGCAGAGGGGAGAGATGAGCGCGGGGTGGGGAGGTCCCGGGTGCCAAGGCGCAGAGCCCGGGGTGCAGTGGGTGCTCAGTAAGCCACGGATAAATGGAAAGCAGAGGTGGCTGCAGGTGGATCGCAGGCCTTTACTAGATCGCAGGCACTGGGCTCGGCCCGTGGGCCCCAAACTTCTCTGCCCCTTAGAATCACCTGGGAGGGTCCATCTGCAGAAACGGTGATGGACAGAGATGTTGGAATTTTTCAGAGTCCCAGGTCATTCCTGGGTGCAGATGAGTTTGGCAGCCCCTGCACTCATCCAACCAGAATATTTGAGGGTAACCTATGTGACACCCCAGTTTTTGCATGTTAAAAGTGACGGGATGTTTGGCAGATTCATGTGGTTCCTTCCACACTGTTATCCTCTGAACTTCAGGAGGCCGGTACCTCTCTGCTCCCCTTTAGCAGAGATAGTGAGGCCACTGCCGTTGTAAATTCTGTTTTTTTTTTTTAAAGATTATTTATTTATTTATTCACACATACAAGAACCAGGGTATAGGCCAGATGTACGGGGCGGGGGTGGTGGTGGTGGTGGTGGTGAGAGGATTCACCAGAGACAGGGAGCAGAACAGGCAGACTGACTGAAATACACTGCTGAGGGGAGCAGCAGGCGAGCCGGGAGAGGTCTGCGGCGCCATGTGGGTAGCTCCCTGGCCAGCCGGAATTGAACCAGCACTGCAGAGGCTGCAGACAGATTCACATCGCTGCGCTCAACCATCAGCACCACCAGGGAAGCCCTGTAAATTCTGATTTTAAAGTTGTGAATGGCAACAAGGAGGATTTAAATTCCAGGGCTGCTTAAAGGCTGCTTTTGCCCAGACATGCAGAGGCGACACTGTGAGTGGGCAATTTCCCTTGGTGCCTTCAGTCCATCCTTCCCTGGTCCGCATGCCCACCTGGTGCCTGGGTCACGGTGGTCACTAGCCTGGCCCATCAGCCACCTCCTCTCAGAAGCACCAGCTCTCAGACCCCTTCTTTTGGGCTCAGAAACCAAAACTTCTCCTGATGGTGAAGGCTGAAAACCAGCCACTCCTCCCAGGAGTTCATTTGGGTCTTTTAGGGCTGTTCATTGCACAGCCAATATTAACATAAGTCCAGACAAAAGAGAGAGAAGATTCCCCCACAATCCCACAACCTCCAGCAAAACTGGTGTACCTGTCTGGTTTTCCAGCTCCATCCATACACGCACCCGTCTTCACAATGCGCACCCTGGTTTTTTTTAACCTAATAATAGTAGTTATTATTGTTCATGTTTATGCAAACAGCTCACTTATCTCTCTGCCTGGTGTAACTACTTTTAATGTGATTTAATTATTCCAAATAATAATAATTATGTTAGTGTTATTTTATAAACATTTCCCCAACCTTCTCTCTGGTTTTATGATTAGAATGTGGATGGATGCATTACAACTGATCCACCCTCCTGCTGCTCAATATTTTTTAATCAATTGTGGTAAATAAATGCAGAGTTTGAAAACTTTCCTGACAATAAGTCCCCAGTGATTGGATTTGTAGGTGGAAAATACAGATAATTTTTATGATTCTTGCAAAGTCCAGTCAAATCACTTTCCAAAAAATGTAATACTGATGTATAGCTACATTGCAGATTTGGTAACTGCAATGTTTCAGTGTGACCTCAGCCACTGAGTATGACTAAGGTTATGCTGTTAAACTTCACAGATATGAAACAGTACCTCGTTTGTTTTTTATGTTAGTATATTTGCATTATTTAAGGAAACTTTTCAAGGCAAGGTACTGGCTCAAGGAATAAAAGATCTCTTAGTTACCCTTGTTAATCAAAACAGAAATGTTTTGGAGGGTAAATACTCTGGGCATCCAATTGTTGTACTAGCCTGGAGCAGCCTCCCTTTCTGGGGATCACTTACCCACCCCAGAAATGAATGATCTCCTTTCAGCAGTCACAGTGTGTTCTCAGCTCACACACCACCGCCACCCACCCGCTTCCCCCATGTAATTCCTTCCAGATGTTTGCTGTCCTCAGCAGGGAACAATTCTTCCTTGAGTGTGACTCTCTTAATTCATGTTTATGCAAGTGGTTCATTTATCTCTCTGCCTGGCATATCTACTTCAATGTGCTCAAGTTATTCTTCAACTTGAATGCTTTCACAAAGAGAGAAATCAATCATAGAGGGACGGTAAACACTGGCATTTCCCTCGCTTTTACTGTGTGCCAGGCAAACTGGGCTAAGAGATGAACCAGGACATGATGCTCAGTCTTCCCAGGGGCTACACAGGTCACCCCCCAACCCAAGGGCCAGTCACTGAGAGATGGATGGAAGGATGGCCTGGCTGCCCCCACCAGGAACCCCTGGTGACCCACGTTTACTTCTGTGGACAAACTGTAAGGTCCTATAAGTGAAAAGGTTTGCTCAAGAACTCGGATCAAGCTGGTTGTTCTTCCTAGAATGCCTCGTCTTTCCTTCCTTAACTCCTTGTGTGGAGCATCCTTCCGTCCACACCTCTTCCAGGAAGCCCTCTTGGAGCCTTCTTTACTCCCAGTTGTATCAAGATTTTGCTTCTCTCTCTTCTAGGCAGTCTCTCTCTTCTTGCATCAAATGCAAGGTCAAGAGCTAATACTTGCCGGTCTGTCCCATCACCCCAAAATCCCCAGGGGGCGAGGCTCCTTATCATTTGCATACAGCAAGTACCTGTTCAAAGAGCTGAGTGTACGAAGTGCTGGCAGAATTTAAAACAAAAGCACCATGTCTTTTAGTATAACTTAAAGCTGGGGTGTCACAGTGGGTTGAATGCCCTCTCCCCGACAATCCATGCCCACGTGGAGCTTCAGAGTGTGACCTCATTATAGATCATGCTCCTGTAGATGGGATCAGCAGGATGACATCTTATTGCCCAGGGTTCTTATACAAAGGGGCGTGCAGGGCTGGGTGGTGCAGCCCCAGCCACCACAGCGTAGGCACCTCGCGTGGACAGCGCCTCCTCTAGGCTGAGCTGAGAGAGGGCCCAGGCTTCCGGCCTCCGGGACAGTGAGCAAGGGCGTGTGCCTTCTGGGCTCGCAGTCCCCCAGCTAGTCTTGCTTTTTTCTCGCAAACACAGGAAGACGACGCCATGTCCAAGGCTCAACAGGGCCTTGGCGTCAGGAACAGGCCTGAGCAGGACAGGGAGGGAGCACGCCCAAGTCCAGCTGAGCAGCGGTGATGGAGGAGCGGTCCAGAGTGGGGTTCCCTAGGGGGGCGAAGGGGGCTGCCATGTACTGGATGTTTGCATCCCCCCCATGCCCAGGGGATGGTGTCTGGTGGGGTCCCGGAAAGGTCAGTAGGCTTCCATGAGGCGTGAGGGAGAGACCTCCAGGAGGGATCGGCCCCTCGTGAGAAGAGACCAGGTCTTCCTCCTCCGGGCATGTGAGCACAGGGCAGGCGCCGTCTGCAAGCCAAGAAATCAGACCCGGGCCTTGCTGGACCGTGAGGTGGACTTCCAGCCTCCAGAACCCGAGATGCGAGCAGGTTGTTTGAGCCCCAGTCCCTGGAGCTTTGACAGAGCAGAGCCTGAGCCGACTGAGAAAGAGATCAAGGGGGTGTCTGGGTGCAACAGCAGAGCCTGCGGGCAGGTGGGTCTCCATGGCCGGGTGGGTGTCAGCAGAAGGCCCACAGGCGAGGCAGGGCACCCCAGCCACTGGAGCAGGGTGCAAGGGGTGGCCTCCAGGAGAAGGGCTGGGGGGAGCAGTGAGGGTGACATCTGTGGCCTAAAGGACAAAGGGACAGCTGAGTCTGAGTTGTGGGGGGCTCAGGATCCCACACCTGGATGGCAGCCTCCTGGGTCAGGGAGATCCCCCAGAACCCTCGGCCAGCAAGGGCACCACTGGATTCCAGACCTGCCTGGTGGCCACATCCCTTCCCACCAGAAGGGGGCGAGTGGGGGCCGTGGGTGGCCCAGACCCTGCTGGGCTGCATGTGGGTCTGGGGAAGGACCTAAGGCTGGGAAATGAAGCAGGTGGGGGAGGCAAGTGCTGGGGTCACTCATGAGGAGCAGCGGGAGGCAGAGGCCAGCCAGACTCTTTGCACACGGCCCACAGATTCCCCGCCGTGGCCCACACATTCCCCACCCTGTCAATCTGGAGGGACTCCGGGCCACGGCAGGTGGTGTGCACATGGGACCCCCAATGCCTTCTTGCGGTGCCTTTTTTCAGCTGAGAGACGAGAAAAGCAGCCAGGCCTGGGCCTGGGGGCAGCGTCCAGCACACGGCAGAGGAGGGGGACGGCCTGCCCGCCGGAGCAGGACCTCACCGCGCGTGGCCTGGGCCTCAGGGGAAGCCCTGCCTCCGTGGGAGCAGCTGGGGCACAAACCTCTCCCTGACAGACACTTCTCCCCGCCGCCCCGCAGCGCCCAGAGAGGAGGGCAGGACCGAGCGCCGTGGTCCCGGCACAGACCAACTCAGAGGCGCGCCTCGGGTCTGCTGCCCTCCCTCTGCCCCCGCTGCCGCCCAGCATCGCTCCTTGCAGCAAGCACCAGCCCGTGCTGGACGCTGAGGTCCGTGACAGCCCAGCCACGCCGAGGAGGCCCTTCCTTCTCCGCACACCGCCCGCCTCCCTCTCCCGCCTGCTCTTCGCGTCTTCGCAGCTGCCCACCCCGGCCGCCGGGCACCGTTGGCGCGTCTGCACGGCCACCCGGCAGGTTGTGCGTGGGCTAGCGGGGCCGAGGGGCGAGCCTTCCCCACGAGGCCGCGGCCACGTCCCAAGGGAGAAACTGCACAGAACAGGATCCCGTTTTCCAACTCCTCTGACACGTGCCCAGTGTTCCCTGGGAGAAGAAAACCCGAACCTAGCACCAGGACTCTCTGGCGCAGCTGCCACGGTGCCCCGAGCGAACCCTCCTCAGCTGCTGGGCGTGGTGGTCTCTGTGTTTCTGTGGGTGGTGTCCGTGGTGGGACACTCTAAGCAGGAGCAGGAGGAGGGCGGGGTTGCCAGCGTCC